TAATTTCTGACGACTCGTTCGGAGCCTAAAAAAATCCATCCTCCAGCAACTCCCGTCTCACCAACAGCTTGGCTCAAACTGGTCACCAACTCTTGATCTTCCGCGTTCATTTGCCAACAGTTCGCGCCACCAACGGGTTGACTGGATTCGCCACCAACAAGCTGCCATTTCTTGAATACCAGAGACACAGCGTCCCTCAGGAAGACCTTAACAGGAATCGTGTTCTCAGCAATAAACTCTCCAATGCGTCCCGTCCAGTGGCCTTGCGAAGGAGGGATCGGGATGCTAGCAGGTCCGCAGGCGGGAGGATTGGTCCAGGGTGCAGGCTCGCAGTGTGCAAGGCCTCCTCCTCTTCCTCCTCTTCCTCCTCTTCCTCCTCTTCCTCCTCTTCCTCCTCTTCCTCCTCTTCCACGCATCAGGACACGCCTGCAGCAGGATGAAGGCTCGCAATCTGCAAACTCGCAAGCTGGAGACTCTGAAGGCCCAAGCAGCGCAGCATCAGGCTTTAAAGATCCAGCCAGCGGCCCAGAAGGCTCCAAGAAACCCTACCCCGTGTCGCCTATCAGTCACCTCTTTCCGGGGAGCACTGACGCTGCTCCCGCTCCCCACATGACTCACAAGACTGCAGAAGATTCTGAAGGCCCAAGCAGCACTCCAGCAGTCACAGGAGATTCACATGGCCACAGCGGTGGCAGTGCCATATTAGACCCAGAAGACCCAGAAGACCCAGAAGAGCCAGATGAACTCCAGCCCGTGTCGCCTATCAGCCGGCTTTTCCTGGACCCTGCTCTGAGCACGGTCATCCTGATGTCCATGGAGTTTGAGGGGAGCAGCATGGGAGTGAGGGAACTGACCGGATTGGTGCGCACCCTGCTGTCCTCCCAGCGCCGCTTCACCAGCCGCATCGTGAGTCGATTTCAGTCCTTGGTGCCCTGATGGTGGAGTTTTGAGGCGCCTCAAAAATCGCCTTGGTGCCCTGCTGGTGAAGCGCTTTTGAGAATTCTCAAAACTGACTGCCTGGGTGCCCTGCTGGTGAAACGGGGCTGGGAGGACCCTGCTGTCCTGCCAGGCCCGCTTCACCAGCCGCATCTTGAGTAAATCTGGGTCGTCTCTATCTCGCTCTCTTGCTGGACCCGGCTCTGAGCACGGTCATCCTGATGGCCTTACAGTTTGAGGGCAGCAGCAGGGGAGTGAGGGAACTGACCGGATGGCCATACAGTTTGAGGGCAGCAGCAGGGGACTGGACGAGCTGACTGCCTTGGTGCCCTGCCTTCGCGCCCTGCTGGTGAAACGGGGCAGGGAGGACCCTTCTGTCCTGCCAGCCCCGCTTCACCAGCCGCATCTTGCGTACATGTGGCACCAGAGCTCATACCAGGAGCACCGGGGCATTGGGGTTGGTTTGGTGGCATGCCTTTTGAGTCGACTCAAAAGTTAGCTTGAGTACCTGCGCTCATACCAGGAGCACCAGTGCTTATGCCAGGAGCACCAGTGCTTATGCCAGGAGCACCAGAGCTTATGCCAGGAGCACCAGTGCTTATGCCAGGAGCACCAGTGCTTATGCCAGGAGCACCAGAGCTCATACCAGGGGCACGGGGGCATACCAGGGGCACCGGGGCATACCAGGAGCACGGGGGCATTGGGGTTGGTGGCATGCCTTTTGAGTCAACTCAAAGTCAGCTTGAGTACATGTGACGACTTTTGAGGCGCCTCAAAAGCCAGGAGCACCGGGGGCAATGGGGTTGGTGGCATGCACTGCACCCACGTGGCTTTCCACCATTGACGCATGGACCTATCTTGCCTCATGGTTCTGTCTTTTCCATCCTTCCTGCTTTTCCGTGTGTCCTCTTCCCATGCGCTCATACCAGGAGAACTATTGAGTCGTCTCAAAAGTCCATCCTTCCTGCTTTTCCATGTATCCAGTTTTGAGGCGCCTCAAAACTACTCTTCCCGTAAGCTCATACCAGGAGCACCGGGGCTGGTGGCGAGTGCCTGTATGGGTGCCTTCCCACGTGGTGCAGGAGCCTTCCCTCTGCGCCTCATGCTTTATCCTTCCTCTGTTCTTTCCCATGCGCCCCTATCAGGAACACCGGGGGTGGTGGCTAGTGCCTGTATGGGTGCCCACCCACGTGCACTGGCCTTCCCACGTGGTGCAGGAGCCTTCCCTCTGCGCCTCCTGCAGCAGCACAGACGAATCTCAGCCGTCCATCTCACATGATCGGCGCTCACCAGAAGATCCTCCTTATAGTGTGCCTCGCTGCAGTGTAGAGAGCCACGTGGTGCGGCTGCAGACCCTGCCTCTGTTCGATTTTAACAAGCCCTTGTGGCAAGTGCACCTGCTGCCCACCTGCGCCCACATCCCCCGTTCCACCGCTGTTTTCCGGTGAGTCTCCCCCCTCACTTCTCAACCCCTCTCGATTTCAACCAGTCGCTGTGACATGTGCACCTGCTGCCCACCTGCGCCCACATCCCTCGCACATTTGTGCGTCCCTTCTTTGCTTCCCATGCACTCCGCTTCCCCTTCCCATCCTCTCCTTCCCATGCACTCCGCTTCCCCTTCCCATCCTCTCCTTCCCATGCACTCCGCTTCCCCTTCATTTTCCTTGATTATCCTCTCCTCTTTTCGATTCGTTTATTTTCGTTTCCTCTCCCTTCCAGTATCCACCACGTGATTGGCGATGGTACTTCCCTCATGTGGCTCCTGTCCAGCCAATCTCAGCCGTTCAAGTCCATACCGCTTCACTCCGAACAATCTGAACCGCCCAAGCCAGGTGGCAGTGGTGATAGCGCCACTGACATCATTCCATCATTTAATTTCAAAGAAGCTGACAGCGGCATGGTGATTGCGGGGGCAGAAGGAAATAACGAGTCAGCTTCTGAAGGGGATGAAGTGGAGAGTGTCACGGAAAGCGTGGTAGGGATTGAATCGGCAGAAAGCAGCGGTGAGAGGGAGGGAGGTCATGTGGGTGCTGCTGCTGCTGCTGATGTTATGGTGCGGAATTACTCTGATACCAGTGACAGGAGCACTGGGAGCAGCATGGACAGGGCCAGCAGCAGCAACGGGAGTATCCAATCCTGTGGAGTGGAGATGATAAGGAATGGATCAGACACTAGCACAGTACGCCAGCAGCACCAGCAGCGCCAGCAGCATCAGTGGAACCAACAACAGCCCCAAACATATGTTTGAAGATTCAAAAGGAACCTCTGAGTGTCCAGGTGCAGCAGAAGCAGAAGAGGCACCAGAATCAGCAGAATCAGCTGCAGAAACACCCTCTGAGTCGCCTGTAGGGACAGCAGCACAACCGGACCCTCTGACCGCACCAGTGGAGTCCGAATTAGAGTGTGAAGCTGAGAGCGCATCTGCACCCGCACAGGGGACTGACGTTAGTCAGCCTCCTGTGCCGATACTACTTGCAACTGCCACTGCACCTGCCGCTGCTGCTGCCACTGCCACTGCACCTGCAACCACAGCTGTAGCTGCACCAATCAGCTTCAAAACCTCTTGCTGGCGCTATATGCATCAGTGCTTCATTACAGGATGGCGACGCGTCGTCACCACTTCCAAATGCACCATCGCCACCGTTGCTCACCTGATTGAATTCCTCCTAACCATCTTGTTCCTCTCAGACCATCCCTGCACGCCCGTTCGCTCGGCCATGCCGTTTTCGAGACTACGGAAGCAGGACCAGCGGACGCTTCCGAGAAGCTTCGCAGTGACGGAGGGGATTGAGATGGAGAGGGTCACTCGGGTTCGCAAGGCCCTTGGCGCGGTGAGTGGGAGGGTAGGAGGTGCAATGGGGGAAGAGTTGAAATGTGGAGGCGAGGGTGGCTCGGGTTCGCAAGGCCCTTGGCGCAGTGAGTGGGAGGGTGGGGGGAGAGGGTGTGGGGAGGTGGGGTGCATGGGGGGAGGGGTTGAATGAGGGGTGAATCCCACATCTGTGATGAGTCGACACATCTGAAATGGAGCGGGTGGCTCGGGTTCGTTTTTGAGAATTCTTAAAAACCAACTCGTATCAGATGGAGCGGGTGGCTCGGGTTCGTTTTTTAGAATTCTTAAAAACCAACTCGTATCAGATGGAGTGGGTGGCTCGGGTTTGCAAGGCACTTAGAGTGGTGAGTAGGTGGAGGAGAGGGGTAAGAGGGGAAGTGGGTGGGGGTGAGGATGAATTGATGAATGAGTGGGTGTTCTTCCTCCACTATCGTCCTCCCTCCTGTCTCATTCCAACTCCCAAATGTGTTTTGAGTCGACTCAAATCACAATATCTCCCCTTCTCCTTCTCACTCTTCCCATCCCAACCTGCCATAGACTGTCAATGACTTGATGATGGCAGTCATTTCTGCGGGCATAGAGAGCTACATGCAACACAGGTATAACGGCTCTCATAGGTCAATGCAACATGTGGATCAAGGAGGGCGGATGCATCAAGGAGGGCGGATGCATGAAGGAGGCAGCTTCGACCTCGAGTCAGTCCAGCAGCGCCAAAGGTCGAGTGGATGGAGCAGCAGGAGTGGTGCCACTCGGTTCAGAGCGGTGACAATGGCTGATTTGAGGAGCAGGACACGAAAAGGACCACCTGTGGTAAGTGCCGCTTTTTCTTTCCATCCTTGTCCATCCCTTTCAATCCCATTCCATCCCTTTCCATCCCTTTCCATATCTCTCAACCCTGTATGCCCAGTTTCGCGTTGTTCTGACCCTGCTAACTGCAAATGCGTCTCTTGCCTCTCATGTGCTCCTGTTTCAGTGGGGCAATAAGCTTGGGATAAACGTCATCTCTCTCCCCATCTCGCTACAGCCTCCCCCTCTTTATCCTACTCCCCCTCCTCCTCTTCCCACCGCCGCACATACAAAACTCGCACATGCCACATCAGCATCAGCGCCACATGGCTTCACTTCCCTCCCTGCTGCACTGCCACGTGGGTTTGATAACACCGTCATCGATATCCCACCAGAATTAACGCAGGAGATTGCAGTGAAAATCGCGTGTGGGGAAAAGGAAGGGGGGATGGCAGGCGATGGAAAGGCAGAGCAAGTGAGGGGAGTAGAGAGTGGGGGGGAAGGTGGAGAGAAGGAGGAGGGGAGTGGGAAGGAGACAAGGAGAGTGCAGCGCGTGCGGAGGGAGTGTGGGCAGAAGAAGGTGTCATGGGAGGCCCATCTCACCAACCTCTACGCCCGCCTGGCACTTGCACTTCTGGGCCGCAAGGTAGGGGGATTAGGGGCTTATAGGGAATGAGGCGGGTGACGCGAGTGCGGGAAGAGTGTGGGCAGAAGAAAGTGTCATGGGAGGCTCATCTCACCAACCTCTATGCCCGCCTGGCACTTGCACTTCTGGGACGCAAGGTAGGGGGAATGGGGGGGTTGGGAAAACGGGAATGGAGGCTTGGGAATGGGGATGAACATGCACGGGGGTGAGGAAGGTGCAGCGATTGAGGGCGGAGTGTGGGCAGAAGAAGGATTCATCTGAAGCCCATCTCACCAACCTCTACGCCCGCCTCGCCCTCGCGCTGCTGGGACGCAAGGTACGGGGTTTTGTGGGGATGGACTGGTGCATTACGCTGCCACACACAGTGCCGCTACCTGAACCGACAACGACTGGTGCTTGCTTTGGCAATCATACTTTGATTCATTCCCAATGTATGTCCCTCGTGTGTCACAACAACAACAGGCGATGGCATGGCTGTTTGCAAGGGTGGCCCAGCAAACCTCAATCACAGTCTCCAACATCGCTGGTCCCAAGGACAAGCTGTTTCTTTCCGGGCAGGTTGTTTCAGCACTGACTATAACTACAGTGGGCCAACACCAGGTGCGCACGCGCATTGATACAGGAAACGTTAAGTCATGTGCATTTGATAAGAATGTTGGCCTAATTTTTTGCCTCCCCTCCTGCAGGCCATGACGTGCCATATTGAGTCGTATGCTGGTTATTTGAAGATCGTTGTTAGTGCACTGGGAAACTATGTCCCTGATGCGCCAAACATGTGCTTTCATTTCATGAAGGCTTTTAGACGATTGGAGAGGGAGACATTCTGTTGGACTGGTCAGTAATTACTGTTTATCAGGTTATTTTGGAAACGAGAAGAGCGTAATGTTACCCATATGATGCTTTTGAAACAAAAGGCTACAACGGGTGCATGCAAAACACAGCGGAAGAGAGTCATTTAGCGCAAGTTCTTTATGTATGGGGGTCTTAAGGGTTGTGCGAAATAAAACTTGGCTGGGAGAGTATGGTACTATACGTCTTCTTGCATCCTCTACATATTCAAGCAAAAGAGCGTTTCATCCAGGCACAACATTTCCAATAACCATGCTCATTGATAAGCTTCAAATTAATTCAAACAATCATATTGTACAATTGCATCTGGTACGGTAGTATCCATCCAGGGCATGATATGATTTTACCATGTCTCAATGCATACAACCAACACTACACTTCCAACTTCACATCCACACCACCTTTCCCTTTCCTCCCTTTTTCCTTCGTCCCCACATGCTCCGCCCTTCCCATCCTCCCCCTCACAACATGCACTTTACTCGCACACACGCCCACCTCCACCCCTTCCTCCGCCACTCCTCTGCCATACACATCCACATGCCGCCAAGCCCTCGCCTCCCTGAGCGACTCTGGTAAACACTTAAGTGCCACACATTGCCTCAACTGAAGCACTTTTAAGCGAGGCAGGAGGCCAAGCGTGGGGGGGAGGGAGTGCAGTTGCTTGCAGAGGCTGAAGCAGGCCACTTGGAGGGTAGCCAGGGAGGAGAATGAGCCGGGAAGGTGAGTGAATGAGTCGCACTCAACAATTTTGAGGCGGGTTAGGCGGGGCAACAGGCCAAAGGTCTCAGGAAGGTGGGAAAATTCCGGGCAGTTGGAGATGTTAAGGACGGTCAGGGCGGAAAGGTCGGAGAAAGACTCGGGCAGATAGCGGATTCTTTTGCACGAGTCGACAGAGAGACGCCGCAGGGAACACAGAGAGCCGAAGCCAGCAGGCAGTGTGGTGAGATCATCGCAGCTGGTGATAGTAAGCGAGAGCAGGCGAGGTAGGAGGCAGAAGGAGGGAGGCAGGCGGAAACCGTGAGAACAATGAGCCAAGGACACCTCCTCGAGAGAGGATAAGCCGACCAGAGTGTCCGGAAGGTAATCTCCCGACGCGCCAGTGATACTCAGCTTCTGTAGCGCTCCCAGGGAGCCAAACCCTGGAGGCAAAGCGTTTACTCTGTAACACCAGGAAATCGTGAGCTCTTGTAAGTGCGACAGCCTAGAGATTGCCGCGGGCAGGTGCTTTAAAGTCTTGCTGCCGAGGTACAAGCGCCGCAGAGAGCTTAGGTCACAGAGTGACTGCGGAAGCCCCAGACTTATGGAGCAGTATTTCAGCTCCAGCCACTCTAACTCTGCCAGCTGGCCCAGGTCTTCTGGAAACGACACGTGGCTGGGGAAGGTGATGTCATACTCTATGCGGAGCGTGCGGAGGGCGCGCAGGCGGGCAAAGGCAAGAGGAGGGGACAACGGCAGGTACATGTTGTGCAGGTGAAGACTCGTGAGGGAGGTGAGAAGCATGAGACAGGGAGGCAGATTCCTGTGTAAGGGGTCCTCGTCGCTGTAGCCGCTGTAGTGCAGCTCGAGCGACTGCAAGCACGGAGCGAGGCAGGAGAGGGATTGCGGCAGGCGGAGCGAGGTGCCATAGAGGGAAAGCGAGCGCAGGTTGAGCAGACAGCCAAGGCCGGAGGGGAGTGTGACAGAGGGGGAGAGGCAGTCGATGGAGAGGTGTGTGAGGGAGTGCAGTGAGCAGAGACGCGAGGGAAGCGTGCAGCTGCCTCTCCTGCCGTACCCTTGCAACTCTGGAAGCGAGGTGTCCAAGTAGAAACCGAGATGCTTCAGAGACGGGCCGAGTGCCGTGTCGAAGGCGGTATCACCTGCCGCACCTGCTGCTGCGGCGGCTGTTGCTGCTGCATCGGCGGCGGCAGTGTCTTCGGGCCGAGCGATGTATCCCAGCAGCGCTGCGACCCCCCTCGCGTGCTCCACACCCGTCACGTCGCGCGGTTCGAGCCACCCGACGTAGCCCAATTTCACGTGCGCCAGGGACGGCAGCGCGAAGAGCGCCTCGGGAAAGCGCTCCTGACGGTCGACGCTTGAGACCTGCAGCCGCTCCAAAGATACCAGCCCGCTTAGCGGCTCGAGGGCCACGTCGAAACCGAGATGATCGAGCGTCAGATGACGCAATGCCGTAGCGAAGAGCAGGCTGGGTGGGAGCGTCTGGAGTTTCCAACAGACGGAGATGGTGAGATGCGTGAGCGAGTGCACGGACGCGAGATGGAAACTGCGCATGTCGGCGAACGAAGCGAGAGTGACCTGCTCGAGATTCGCCCATTTTTCGCATGCCTCTGGTAACCCGCCTCGGAAGTTCCGCAGGTCCAGTCGCCGCATCTGCTGCAGCGCGCCGATGCGAGGCGGGAGGCGATCCTCCTGCCACGAGCCGTCGATGTGGAGAGAGGTGAGCGAGGAGAGATCGCCGAGCGAATCTGGCAGGCGCCGCATTTCTTTGCAGCCCGTAAACGAAAGGTGCTCCAGCCTCTTTAGTTGGCCAAAATTTTCGGGCAGCTGCTGCAGCAACGGGCAGTTTAGATAAAGTTCCTGCAGGGCAGACAGCTGGCAGATCCCGTCGGGCAGAGAGCGGAGAACCTTGGAGCACAGGCGGAACACGCGCAGCGACGACAGCGACGCGACGGAGGCAGGGAGCTTCGTCGTGTGGCCGAGACATTCGCGCAGCGAGAGCTCCTGCAGGCGCGACGACGCGAGGCGGAAGAAATTCTCGACAGCTTTCGTGCCGATTCGAAAGTGGGGCGTTCCGGTGAAGCGTGCGAGGCCGATGCTCTGGCGTGCGCGTCCAGTGAAAGCGCCGTGACGCTCGGCGCGAGCGCCAGCGTGCGGAAGAGCGCGGGCGCGGAGATCGTGGGGGCGGAGAGCGCCATCGCGAGCTTCTCGGTACCGCGGAGTTCGGAAGAGTCTGACTTCAAACCGCCATGGACGCGGAGAGTCGTCATCAGAAACATCCATCGCTTACAAACCACCGCGAGGTTGCTAAAATCGGGGATATCCGTGAAGTTCGTCTCGCCAGTCTGGCCGTTATCCGCGCCGTGAAGTTGTGCTGTCGATTTTGCGGCGGTGGTGGCGGTGGCAGCAAGTGAGATAATTTTGGAAAGAAGTTCGTCGGGCAGATGGTTGATCGAGATGGCTCGAGCCCTGTGGGCCATTGATGAGGAAAGATTCTCACCCCGCGTTCCAGCTTCACGAGGTGGAGACGTTCTTTATGGATGCGAATGCGCCATCCGTGGTTCACACGTCAGTCCCTAGAGTTCTGCCTCCACGAGTGAGTGGAAAACGTAACAGCTCTGTGCCGCCAAGAGAGAGTTGCCGACAACGTACTGTACAAGATGTGTGAGAACGAGAAATGCGAGGGATGTGGGAGATTGCCTGAATTTGGAGGTAGCGCTCAATGAAAGGTTCACCATGGTCGCGAGGAAAGTTGCGAGACATGAATAGGCTAGAAAGAACGGGAACCTGAAGCCTTCGGAGGAATCATTCTCGAATCGAAAGTAATAAACGGCAGCATTTCTTGAAAGGAACAAGCTGAAATTCTGAAAGGCAGGCGTGCCACATGGAGAGCGGAGGATTTGGGAGGGAATGAGAAGTCTGCTGCATGTCAGGTCGCAAGGCGACACGAGAGAGCGGAAATTTCAGAAATTCGTTGGAAATGGCTAATCACCTCGATATTCAGCACAGTCGTTAAACAAACAAAGCTTACAGACATAACTAACCTATAGAGGATTGAAAGCTTAGCATCTTTAACTATTTACAGCAATAACTTGAGTGATTATTTGTGTCTTATATTCCATTGTACATGGATATTGACAGTTTTCACTTTCAAGACACGTTCCTTTTTGTATGATATGATTTAGAACATTAGGATGGATTATCCAGGTATTACACTCCTCATAAAGTGCGGACGTAATAAAGAGTATGCACGACACCAGCCATTTTGGAAAAAGTAACTGGGTTGACAACCACGTGGCTGCCATTTGTCAGGCCGCCGCCACCGACCAGTGAAAAGCTACAGCTTGCTGCTGACTGACAGCCACTAATATACGGGCGACAATTCCAAGGGAGCCTCGGTTGTGGTTGGCCAGATCACTCATGTGGTGGTGATGAGTTGTGGTCTTTCGTTCGTTACTATAACATTCCGCCGAAGCATTACTTTCTCATCTCAACCTCCCTTAGAGAATTCCTTTTCTCCCTGACGAAACCAAGCTGACGTGTGGTGAGGAAGCAGTTGTCGTCAGGGTAAAGCCACTATACAACGGTTTAATCTGCCTCTTATTATTCTCTCGACGTCGCGCTTCTGCATGAAAATTGAGATACAAATGCGAAGGCGTGGGAGGAAGAGAGCGTGCGGCTCGGCTCCGTAGGCTAATTCCGGAATCCGGAAGGCGAGGACCGTTTTTCCTCCCGTGATGGGTTGATCAGAAAAAGTAAGGCGTGAATTTGGGTTCGTGGGTTCGAGGCAAGGAGGAAGCCTGCTGCTTCCCCTGCTTCCCACAAGAAAGAGTAACACATTCCTTGAGATGTAGTTGGTGATTCGGATCGTAACAGAATTCATTGACGTTTTTTTCCACCATTGTTGACAAGAGCTGAACACCTTGCGAAGAGCTAGGCGTACCGCGGGGATGACGGATGTAGACGAGCCCGTGTGATTTTTTATACAGACTTGGAGAAGCAGCGACGCCTGGTCAACGACCACAGCAATATCCGCCCCTTTCGAGAAATCCGCATCGCGGTACTCGTTATTGTCAGCACTGTCAGATCGAGCATATCGAAAAGCCTTTCAGTTTTTTAGATTGTCTCTTATATTCAGCGAATTCCAGGTTCTGGAATTCACTTCTGAGGGTCGTTAGTCAGATTCGTAGGAAGCTTACAGGGGAGCTGAGAGAATTCATAGTGGATTAGTACGCGAAAGAGAGGATGACACTTGAGCTGGATTTATAAATTTGAGGTTTTTGTTTCCTGCGACTGTAAACTAGGAAATACTTCAAGCGAAGCCTGTCAAGGTTCGTAGAGGCTATCTCGTCTCTTGGCATCTTAGATCTCTTAAATTCCAAGTATCACCCTCTTCCGCGTGCCTCTTCTGATTTCTTCTTCGGATTTCCTTCTCCGTTTCCCCCTTCTAATTTCCCCCTCCAATTCCATTGTCCAAATCTACCGCGTCTTCCTTCCCTCTCCGTCGCCGTTCTCTTTTCCCGCTGCTGCACCCCAATCCGTTTGCTATTGTCACACCCGTTACCCGAATCCTGCTATCAGATGGATTTCCTAAGGGCGGGAACGCACATGATGGCCTCATCATTCCTCTACACCATCTCCTCCGGTCCCTCATTCTCCTCCAGCTGTGAGTCCTTTCTTCAATTAAATTTTAAGGCATCGTATGCTTCAGCCAATTAATATCGTCATTTGAAAGCACGACTCCTACTCCCAACACGCATATGCTTGGTCTCACTTCATCCTTTTTAACAAAATCTTTCGGTTTTGTTCCTCACCTCCCTCCCTCACTCCCTCCCTCCCTCCCTTCCTCCTTTCCTGACTCCAGTTTGGCCGTCCTTCTGCGGGCCCCACGACCCCTACGCCCAGCACTGCCTCTCCACCCCGCTCCTCTCCTTCCCCTCCCCTCCTCTCTCCTCCACCCCACCCAGCCTCCTCCTCCTCCCATCCCACCACAGCACTCTCTCCCACGCCTCCTCTCCCCTCCCTACCATCACCCCCTCCACAGTCACATGGAACCAGATAGAGCGCCTAGCAGCAGAGGAAACCAGCCCCGGGTACCTCCCTCCGTGGCTGCTCTACCTCCCTGCCTCCCCGTGCCTGCAGCACGCGTCCTTCCTCCTCTTCTCAGCCTTCTTCATCATCTGCACCCTCTCTCACCTCCTCATCCTGCACTCACACCCCAGCCCCTCCTCCTCCTCTTCTTCCGTTCCTCCTCCTCTTCTTCTGCTCCCGGCCCTTCCTCTTCCTCTTCCTCCTCCGCCTCCCGTCCCGCTGCCCCGTCTGCTACTCCCTCTCGCTCCTCCTGCCCCCTGGGGTCTGACGGGGAGGGTGCTGCTGACACAGCAGATACGGCAGGGGCAGAGACTCATTGGGAAGCAGGACCAGGGTACTGGCTCTCTCTCTTTCTCTCCCTCCTCCTCTCAGTCTCCTGGGCGCTGCTGATCCTATCTGCTCTTCTCTTCATGCTTGTGAATTCGGCTGGCAGCAAGCAGCACGGGGCGTATCCGCATGAGCTCGCGTACGCAGCTGGGCAGGTGGTAACCTGGTTACTGGCGCTGCGTGTGTTCCTGCTGTATGGCAAGCGGAGGGATCAGAGGCTCGTGGGTTCGGCTAGGGTTTGGCTGTTTGCAAATGCTTGTGCAGTGCTGTTACTTTCTGCTGCTGTGGTGCTTCGGTTTGGTTCACCTGGAGGGTTGAAGGAAGAAGCAGGAGGGGCAGCTGGAGAAGGGGTACTTGTTGGAAGTAGCCCAGGGAATTTTGGGTTGTGGAGTGATTTTCTGACACTGGTTACCCTCCCAGTGGCTCTCCTTTTTGGGGCGTTTGCTGTGAATGGACGGCCAGGATGGGCTCTTCCCCGTGCAGAATCTCAGCCATCGGATGTTGAAAGTATAGAGGATGGGTTACGTACTCCGTTGCTGATTGGTGGAGGGGCAATCAGAGAAAGCCACGTGGCAGGGAAGCAGAAGAAGCAGCATCCGAAATCGAATCTCTCTAGACCAACAGGGAAGACGTCAGGAGAAGAAGCAGAGCAGGGGGGGAAGCGGCGACAGTCACACTTAGAGCAGTTGCAGGATGAAGAGGAGGAGGAGCAGGAACAGAAGAAGCAGCTGCAAAAGGAGCCTCCTATGACTCTCTACGCCTCTGCTGATTGGCTCTCGGCGCTCACCTTCGGATGGGTCTCGCCGTTCCTGGAGGCAGGTTCGGAGAAGACCGTGGCTGTGGAGGACGTGCCGAGCCTACAGGCCTGCGACCGTGCCGAAGCTAATTTCCGAGCCTTTAATGCCAGTTGGGCGAGGCAGGTTGCTGCGGCCGAAGCCGCCGAAGCTGCAGCAGCAAGGGGCGGCAGCACCGCTCTCCCTTTCTCAATCAGCACTTCCTCACTCTCTCAGCTGTTCACCTGTGAAAACCTCTGCACCATACTCTACCGCTGCGTCTCCGCCCTCTCCTCCTGTCTTCACTCCTTCAAATCCTTCCTCACCTCACTCTACCGCTCCCCGTACACCCAGCAAGAAGACAGCAAAGTCTCTGCTGCTGCCAAGGAAGAAAAAGAAGAGGAGAGGGAGCAGATTCAGCCCAAGGCAACGGTCACCCGAGCTCTTTGGGAGTGCTTCTGGAGGCCGCTGGTGCTAACAGGGGTGCTGGCACTGGCCAAGACGGGCGTGATGTATGCGGGTCCGCTGCTGCTGGCGAGCTTTGTGCAGTTTGCGGCGGGGGAGAGGGCGTTCCCAGGGGAAGGGGTGGTGCTTGTGGTGGCTCTGTTCCTGTCCAAGGCGAGTGAGATTGTGCTGGAGCACCAATTCAACTTCAGATCCGAGGTAAGAATAGAAATGATTCACGCGGCGTACACATGACTTGAGCATTGAGCAGGCGCATTCACCCCCCTAGGGGAGGCCCTGCTGCTCGTGCTATCTCTGTTCCTGTCCAAGGCGTCTGAGATCGTGCTGGAACACCAGTTCAACTTCAGATCCGAGGTGAGGATAGAGAGGGTATGCAGGGGGTACACACCACTTGAGCAGGTGGTACGCTCAGAGCCTCGGGCACTCTGAGGGTTCCTGTCCAAGGCGTCTTAGATCGTGCTGAAGCACCAATTTAACTTCAGATCCGAGGTGAGACCTTGAGAATAGAGAGGGCATGCAGGAGTGCTGGCTCTGTTCCTGTCCAGGGCGAGACGAGGGTGAGGAGGGGGTGGTACGGGTCAAGACATCAAAGCTGCAGTGGTGAGTGCCCTCCATTGAAAGGGGCTGCTGCGACCGACTTATTCTCTCATTGCCACATGCCCAACCTCAAACTCGATGATCCCTGTACCTGATTCCACCCTAGGTGCTTGGACTGGACATCAAAGCTGCACTCGTGGGCGCGCTGTATCGCAAGGGGCTGCGATTGTCCAGCAAGGCGAAGCAGAGGCACACAATTGGGGAGATTGTGAATTACATGTCCACAGATGCTCAGGTGAGAGTTGGTGGAGATGGGTAGAGAGGGTTGAATTGAAGAGGGGCGGAAAGGGGTGAGGAGGGATGGAAGCGGCATCAATGGGTGCGCTCTACCGCAAGGGGCTGCGGCTGTCCAGCAAGAGGCACACGATTGGGGAGATTGTGAACTACATGTCGACAGATGCTCAGGTTTGTGCGACGAGGGGTGGAGAGGGGTGATGATCATCAACTACATCAACTACAACCAGTGGTGAAGGGAGGAAGAGGCGAGAGCGGGAGGGGCGGCGGAGGGGGCTGGCCAACATCTGCAACACCATTCTGCAGAGAGAGAGAGAGGGGGGAATAGTAGGGGAGGGCGAGGGCGTGGGAGGAGTAGCAGGGGAGGGGGAGGGCGTGGTAGAAGGAGAGGGGATATGAGAGAAGGAGGAAGGGAGGAGCAGAGGGAGTATACAGGGGTGAGTCTTAAAAAAAATGGGTGTGGGTCCAAGTGGCTGCGCCTGCAGCACAGGAATAACACGGTCCAGTGTGACACATACCACCCATTTTTTCCAAGGCTTACCCCTGTGTACTCCCTTTGCTCCTCCCTTCTTACTTCTCTCATATCCCCTATCCCTGTACCATGCCCTCCCCCTCTCCTGTTATTCCTCCCACGCCCTCGCCTTCCCCTACTATCCCCCTCCCCTCGCTCTCTCTGCAGAATGGTGTTGCAGCTGTTGACCCGCCCTCTCCGCCGCCCCCCTTGCTCTCACCTTTTCCTCCATGCACTACTGACTCACGTCTTTCACAGGATCATCAACTACATCTCCACTAATCTGTGCACCTTGCCCCGTTCAACCTGCGTTCCTCCCTCTCTAACCACACACACCAGCGCCTAGCGGACCTCATGTGGGAGCTTCACAACATCTGGGTGCTTTGATGCCCATGAAGCTTCTCTGTTGGAATCCTCTTCATCGTTCCCCCTCACTTTCTTACACCTCCCCACCTCACAGCGCTTGGCGGATCTCATGTGGGAGCTGCACAACATCTGGGTGCTGCCGCTGCAGATCATCTGTGCTCTCGTCATCCTCTTCCACGTGAGTGTGACTGCTGTCATTTCCTTCGTGCGATGAGTCGATTTTTGAGTCGACTCAAAAATCGAGCTGCACAACATCTGGGTGCTGCCGCTGCAGATCGTCTGTGCCCTAGTCATCCTCTTCCACGTGAGTGCGACTGCTGTCATTTCCTTCTCACCCTCTGATATCTACTTTCGAGGCGCCTTAGAAGTAGATTCGCCCTCTGATATTTTCCGCTACTTTGTGTCCCCCCTCCATTAATGATCATCTCAACTTGCACTTGTACTGGCAGTTTCTCCCCTCCTTCCCTCCGTCCATCTTCCCTCCGTCCCTCCGTCCCTCCTCCTTCCCTCCCTCCCCCCCAAATGCAAGTGGTGGGCATATCCATACTCACAGGACTTGCCATGATGCTGGCAGTCATGCTCGCCACGCCAATCTCTTACTGGCATCTGGCCTCCACCGATTCATCACAGCAATCATGGCAGCCAAACACACCCCTCCTCTCTCGCCCCTTCATCTCTCCCTCCCTTCCCCCCCAATACAGGTCGTGGGCATATCCATGCTGGCAGGTCTCGGCGTCATGCTGGCAGTCATGCTCGCCAACCTCCTAGTGGCATCCAGCATCCACCGATTCATCACAGCCATCATGGCAGCCAAGGACGCGCCTCCTCTTTCCTTCACTCCCTCCTTCCCGCCCTCGATCCCTGCCCACAGGTCGTGGGCATATCCATGCTGGCAGGTCTCGGCGTCATGCTGGCAGTCATGCTCGCCAACCTCTTAGTCGCATCCGGCATCCACCGGCTCATAACAGCCATCATGGCAGCCAAGGACGCGCGCATGAAGGCCACCTCGGAAGCCCTCTCCTCCATGAAGATCATAAAGCTCTACGCGTGGCGTCAGCACTTCCACCACAAAATCCAATCCCTTCCTCCCTCCCTCCTCCCGTCTGTCTATCCCTCCCTCCCCCCTCCCTCCCTCCCTCCCGTATCTGCAGGTGGTGGGCATATCCATGCTCGCAGGCCTGGGAGTGATGCTGGCAGTCATGCTGGCCAATCTCCTAGTGGCATCTGGCATCCACCGATTCATAACAGCCATCATGGCAGCCAAGGACGCGCGCATGAAGGCCACCTCCGAAGCCCTCTCCTCCATGAAGATCATCAAGCTCTACGCGTGGCAGCAGCACTTCCAAGACAAAATCCAATCCCTCCGCAACACCGAAGCCTCCTGGCTGGTGAAATTCATGGCGTACGCAGCAGTCAACATCTTCCTCCTCTGGCTGACTCCTCTCGCGGTCTCTGTCGCGACCTTCGGCACGATGGTGGCGCTCGGCGTGCCACTGACTCCGGCGTCGGTGTTCACTGCGATTGCGACTTTTAGGATTCTGCAGGAGCCGCTGCGGTCGTTCCCGTCGGTGATCAGCGCTGTCACGCAGGCCATGGTGTCGCTGAAGCGGCTTTCGAGGTTTCTGTCTGATGAGGAGTTGCAGTGGGATGCGGTGGAGAGGGTTGGAGGGGGAGATGGAGGAGGAGGAGGAGGAGGAGGAGGAGAGGGAGTGAGGGATGTTCTGAATGGTAGTGCGTATGTAGGTAATGGGGGAATCAGTCAGCAGCAGCAGGATGGGGAGGGGGAGGAGAGAGGGGTGGAGAAAGGGAAGGGGGAGCAAGAAAAGGGGGAGGGGAAGGGGAAGAAGGAAGGAGAGGATGATGTGGTGGTGAGGATTGAGAACGGCACGTTCAGCTGGGATGCTGACCCAGAGAAGACCACGTTGACTGGCGTTGACCTGGAGATCAAGAGGGGCATGCGCGTGGCGGTGTGTGGGACTGTGGGCGCTGGCAAATCCTCCTTGTTGTCCTGCATACTGGGAGAGGTTCCGAAGCTTCAAGGGAAGGTGAGCCCCCATATAAATAAATGTACAGACATATATATTTATATATATATATATATATATATACATATAGGAGGCACGGGTGAGAATAAAGAATGGCACAACCTTTCCTCTCTCCCATATCCCCGCCCCCGCCGCCCCTTCCTCCCTTCTCCCTCTCCTCCCCCAAATTAGGTGGTTGTGTCAGGACAGTCAGGCCCCACAGCAGCACAGCCTATGTGCCCCAGTCTGCGTGGATCCAAAACGCCATCATCCAGAGCAGAGAAGCCAGGATACCAGCCAACACCCACGCCCCCTGTACTCGTATTCTCCCTCCCTCCCCCCTTGAGGTGGTTGTGTCTGGTCCCACAGCCTATGTGCCCCAGTCTGCGTGGATCCAAAACGCCCACCATTCAAAGCAGAGCAGCCTTTCTCCCCTTGCCCCCTTTCCCTCTCCCCTGACAGGTGGAAGTTTCGGGTCCCACGGCCTATGTCCCCCAGTCCGCGTGGATCCAAAACGCCACCATTCAAAGAAGCGTTGAATACAGTCAATACACACGCCTACCCTGCTCGTACTCCCCCTTCTCTCCCTCCTCCCCCCTCTCTACAGGTGTTTGTGTCAGGTCCCACAGCGTACGTCCCCCGGTCCGCGTGGATCCAGAACGCCAACATCCGGGACAACATTCTCTTCGGTCAACCCTTGGACCGCACCCGCTACCACCACACGCTGCATCAGTGCTGCCTCCGAGAGGAGGAGAAGGGGGAGGCACGCAGGTGTAGATGAACCGTTTACTCTCACTCACACACACTCTCTCGCGCTTCCCCTCGTGCCTCCTGCCTGCCCCCACCAGGTGTTTGTATCAGGTCCCACAGCCTATGTGCCCCAGTCCGCGTGGATCCAAAACGCCACCATCCGAGACAACATTCTGTTCGCCCAGCCGCTAGACCGCACCCGCTACCACCACACACTGCACCAGTGCTCCCTGCTCGCTGACCTCTGCCTCTTCCCCCTGGGAGCCGACACACAGATCGGGGAGCGAGGAGGGTGGCAAACCTTTTCCTCTCTCTCTGTCTCCGTCTCACTCTCTCGCTCTTCCCCCATCCCTCCCCTCCCTCCTGTCCTGCTGTCAGGTGTTTGTGTCTGGTCCCACGGCGTATGTCCCCCAGTCCGCGTGGATTCAGAACGCCACCATCCGGGACAACATTCTGTTCGGCCAACCCTTGGACCGCACCCGCTACCACCACACGCTGCACCAGTGCTCCCTGCTCGCTGACCTGCGCCTCTTCCCCCTCGGGGCCGACACACAGATCGGAGAGCGAGGGGTGAATTTGTCCGGGGGGCAGAAGCAAAGGATACAGCTGGCGCGGGCGATGTATGCAGGGGTGGGGATGGGTGCGGAGGTGTACCTGCTGGACGATCCCTTCAGTGCTGTGGACGCTCACACAGGGTCAGAGCTCTTTATGGTGAGACAATAGAGGGTTGTGACACTAGGGGGTTATGAACGAGACACTCAGGGGTTATGGGGCTTGGTAGTTGGGTGTATGTGCATTCAAATCTTCTTCTTGGAATGGGTCCGTCCGTGCAACCTTGCGAGTGATTTTGAGAATTCTGAAAATTCATTAGCGCTGTGGATGCCCACATGGGGTCAAAGCTCTTTCATGGTGAGGGGATTGGGGGTTCCGTGGGATTCTGGGGGGTTTTGGGGGGTTGTGATGGGTAATTGTGATGGGCCAGAGCTCTTCATTGTAGCGAGTGGTCAGTCAGTGCGTAAGTTGCCACTCCCTCTTACCACCTCGTCACCCTTCTTTCAGGAGTATGTACTCAAGGGGCTGGCAGGGAAGACAGTCATTCTGGTGACACATCAAGTGGAATTCCTCCCTGCTGCTGCATGCCACCCCCTGTCCCTGCTTCCCTCCTTCCCATTCGATCATCCTTCCTCCTCCCTTCCCCCCTACTGTTGCCGTTCCCTTCTTTCAGGAGTATGTACTCAAGGGGCTGGCAGGGAAAACCGTCATTCTGGTGACACATCAAGTGGAATTCCTTCCCTCTGCTGACCTCATCCTGGTGAGATGCTGACGTCATGAGATGCTGGACCACATCCCAGACATTTTGCTGACCCCAAAGTGCTCAGCAGTGGTCTTGAAGCGGTGCTGCTGCTGTTGCAACTCATTCCGCGTCGAGTCGAGTAGAGTTGGTTCGAGACGGTGCTTATTGTAAAAAGCTTTTACAGACTCCTCCTTCCTTCTCACACTCCACTGCTTGTCACCCAATCCCCTCCCCTCATAACCACCGGGTGATGAAGGAGGGGCGCATAGTGCAATCAGGGCTGTATGAGAAGAGAATGAGAAGCTGCTGGCAGAGGGAGAGGGAGTCGACATCTCTGCTCCCGTGGAGGGATGGAGGCACCTCTTTTACTCACTCACTCCCTGTCTCCCCTTCTCGACTCTCCCTGTCTCCCCCCTCTCCCCACCACCACCACCACCACCACCACCACCACCACCAGGTGATGAAGGAGGGGCGCATAGTGCAGTCGGGCCGCTACGCCCAGCTGCTGGCAGAGGGAACGGACTTCTCTGCTCTCGTAGAAGCACACACTGATGCGCTGGAGAGTGTTGGCACTGCCACCGCTGCTGCTGCTGCTGCTGCTGCTGCGTTTTGTTCACTCACCTCACCCTTCCATGTCTCCCCCGTCCCCCATTCATTTTTCTTAACCACCAGGTGATGAAGGAGGGGCGCATAGTGCAGTCAGGGCGGTATGACCAGCTGTTAGCAGAGGGAACGGACTTCTCTGCCCTCGTGGAAGCACATACTGATGCGCTGGAGAGTGTTGGGACTGCCACAGCTGCTGCTGCCACTGCTGCCGCTGCTGCTGCTGCTGCCGACGCAGCTGCCGCTGCTTCTTCCTCTGCTCCTCCTCCTGTCGATTCTATGACCTCCGCTGCTCTTCCTGCTGAGGCTGCAGCTACTGTTCCTCTCCTCCCCAAGCAGCCCGCCGATCCTATCCACAGCAACCCCCACCTCTCGCAGCTTCGGAAAGCCTCCGCGCCGAACCTGCGAAAAGGCTCGGAACCGAACCTGCTGCGCAAGGCCTCGCACTCACAGCTTCGTAAAATGTCCGATCCTATGCTGCTCCACACAGCATCGCCAGAATCCCACCAAATTCTAGAAAACATGGAAGTGGGGGAATCAGATGGTGCTTCTGCTGGTGCAACTGGTGCTGCTAGTGGTGCTTCTGGGGGGGCGGCAGGGGAGGATGGGGATGGGCAGTTGATCAGTGAGGAGGAGCGGGAGTCTGGGCGGGTTTCCTTGGCTGTATACTGGCAGTACATGACGAAAGCGATGGGCGGCTGGCACGTTCCGCTGCTGCTGCTGGTCCAGCTGGCGTGGCAGGCGCTGCAGATCGGATCTGACCTGTGGCTGGCCACTTACAGCTCAGCAGGGGCTGGGAACAGCTCAGCAGAAGAAGTGTACACGTCAGCAGGAGATGAGTACAGCTCGGCAGGAGTTGGAGTCATGATGCAACAATCTTCTCAGCAACTTGACCTCCTCACTCTCCTCTCCTCTCTCCTCCAATATCTCTTCCCTCTCCTTCAACCCATCCCTCTCCTCTTCCCTCTCCTCCCTCTCCTCCCCCTTTTCGTTCCTCACCCCATCTGCCATCACCCCGTCAGCCTTCATGAAACTATACTCGTTATTAGCTCTGGGCAGCGGCCTGTTTGTGCTGCTGCGAACAGCAGTCATATCATGGGCGGGCGTTATGACCACCCAGGCATTCTTCCGAAGCATGCTGCAGACTGTGTTCCGAGCGCCCATGTCTTTTTTCGACTCTACTCCCATCGGCCGCATTTTATCCCGGGTATGTGCCCTCACACAGTAAGGTACCCACTGTCAGTCCATGGGAAGAGTACGGTACTGCTCCCACCCAACAGCCTTTCTTCTTCCTCCGCGGCATGCTGCAGTGCAGACCATGTTCCGAACGCCCGCGCCCTTATTTGACCCTACTCCTATCGAATCGAATCGTGTGTAGAGGGTACGTGCTCACAATGAAGGCCCTCTTTGTCACCTCCTCCTTCTTAATCGTCCCCGTTTCCCACTTTTTACCCCCCCTGTCCGTGTCCAGGCCTCCACATACCAAAGCACTCTCGACTTGGACCTGCCATTTCAGTTTGGGTCTCTCCTCGCCATGGTTTTCCAGCTGCTCTGGATCCCGGTCTTCTTCACCTTCTTCTCCCTCGTTCCCCCTTCCCATCCCCCCTGCGGCCTTCCTGTTTCCAGGCCTCCACTGACCAAAGTGCTCTCGACCTTGACCTGCCATTTCAGTTCGGTTCACTGCTTGCCATGGTGTTTCAGCTGCTCGGCATTCTCTTTGTCACCTCCTACATCACATGGCCTGTGTTCTACGCCATCATCCCGCTGACGTACCTCTACTTCTCCTTCCAGGTGAGACAGGCACGCGTGTAGCCCACCTGTTACACTGTTACCACCATGCCACACATTGAACATGCCCTAATTAGCACCTACCCCTGGTGGTGGTAACCCTCACCTCCTACATCACATGGCCCGTGTTCTACGCCATCATCCCATTGACGTACCTCTACTTCTCCTTCCAGGTGAGAGATACACGTGATACGCACCCCGTATGTCATATGGTATTGTCACAATCTTTGATACGCACCCCTATTGATATGGTAATCTATTGTGATCAAGTCACACCAACCGTTAGCTCACCTATTCCAACAAGAAAGGAGACCCTCTCCCCATAAAATCCTATCTATACAGTCAGCATTGATTCAAAATGATTATGTCTATAAAATATACATATATGTCTATATCTCTCTTTTCATTTCATTATTCATTTCCACCCCTCTCAGGAGTATTATCTAATGACATCCAGGGAGCTCTCTCGTCTCAACGGAGTCACCAAGGCGCCCATCATCGAGCATTTCAGCGAGTAAGAACGAAAGGGCTCTTGGCTTGAAAGATTCTGACTGTTGCCTGTGGCTTGAACTGGTCTTCCAAACACTCTCTCGCCTCAACGGAGTTACCAGGGCACAAATCGTCGAGCGCTTTAGTAAGAGACAGACTGCCACACCCGTCCCATGCTCCTGCGTCCCCTCCCATCCTCCTGCCTCCTGTCTGTCCCATCCTCCTGCTCTGTCAGCTTCTTGGATATGGGCTGATTGCTGTTCGTTCCCCATCGTCCTACCCACTTCAACGCACTTCCCTACTCTTCTCTCCCTTCCCCCCCTCTCAGGTCCCTGTCAGGAGCAGCAGTGATCAGGGCGTTCGCCCAGCAGCCCCGATTCGCTCAGAAGAGTGCCGAGCGGTCGACACCAACATCCCTCTCTACTACCTCGCCTTACCCCCACTCTCTCGCCTTAACCTCGTCCGTTTCCCCCCTCCAGGTCTCTGTCGGGAGCAGCAGTCATCCGAGCGTTCGCCCAGCAGCCCAGATTCGCACAGAAGAGCGCCGAGCGGGTCGACACCAACAACCGCGTGGCATTCCATTACGGCGCATGCACTGTGTGGCTGGGGGTCCATCTGGAGTTGCTGGGCGCTCTGCTTCTCTGCTTCTCTGCCTTGATGCTGGTGTGGCTGCCCCCTTCAGTCATCTCCCCCGGTAAACACACACACACAGACACCTCTTTGCTTAAGGGCAAGCAAGCAGCGACACCAACAATCGAGTGGCCTTCCACTACGGCGCATGCACTGTGTGGCTGGGGGTTCACCTGGAGCTGCTGGGCGCTCTGCTGCTGTGCTTCTCTGCTTTGATGCTCGTGTGGCTGCCCCCTTCAGTCACCTCCCCTGGTGAGGATCTCTCAGTGAACCAGCACTCGTTTCCCTGCATATCAGCCGAGCAAGCAGCCAAGCCAACAACCGAGTGGTCTTCCATTATGGAGCATGCACCGCGTGGCTGGGGTGCATCTGGAGACGCTGGGGGCGCTGCAGCTGTGCTTCTCTGCTTTGATGCTCGTGTGGCTGCCCCCCTCACTCATCTCACTCTCCTTGTGTACCAACACCAAGGAGGTGTTGTCTTTCCCTACCTTCTCCCCCCACCTCCCCACCACCACCAGGTCTTGCGGGCATGTCGCTGTCATACGGCCTCGCCCTCTCCCAAGGTCTATTCTACGTGGTGTGGGTGTGGTGTGCGCTTGAGAACCAGATGGTCTCCCATCAAGCAAGTCCCATTTTCTTGCTTTTCTTTCCCTTTCGTCCCTTTTCCTCCCTTTCTGCCCATTGTTCTCTGTAGGCCTTGCCGGCATGTCTCTGTCATACGGCTTGGCCCTCTCCCAGGGTCTATTCTACGTGGTGTGGGTGTGGTGTGCGCTTGAGAACCAAATGGTCTCAGTCGAGCGAATCCTGCAGTTCTCCCACCCCAACGTGCCCCCCGAAGCACCGCTCTCCATCCCTTCCCACCGCCCTCCCTCCTCCTGGCCCAACCACGGCGCAATCACCTTCGAAAACCTCCAAATCCGGTACCGCCCAGACCTCCCATTGGTTCTCAAAGGCGTGAGTTTGCAGATCAACGGTGGGGAGAAGGTCGGGGTGGTTGGGCGGACCGGCAGCGGGAAATCAACGCTCGTAGTCGCTCTGTTTCGGCTTGTCGAGCCGACAGCAGGCCGGGTGGTAATAGATGGGGTGGATACCACCAGGATTGGGCTGACGGACCTGAGGAGCAGGCTCGCGATCATTCCTCAGGACCCGACCCTGTTCCAAGGCTCGGTTCGGATGAATGTGGACCCGGCGGGGGAGTACAGAGACGAGGAGATCTGGGAGGCGCTGGATAGGTGCCAACTGGGGGAGGTGGTTCGTGGCATGGAGGAGAAGCTTGAAGCGCAAGGTGAGGGGTGATGCTGCTAGTCAGGGTAAGGTCTCTGCAGAGGATGAATGTGGATCCGGGGGGGAGTATCGGGATGAGGAGATCTGGGAGGTGCTGAACAGGTGCCACCTTGTCTCTCTTCATCTTCTTCTTATGTGATATATCCGTCCTCCTACCAACCCTTCTCTTCGTATATTCCCCTTGCTCCAGTGGTGGAAGGAGGGGAGAACTGGAGCGTGGGGCAGAGGCAGCTGTTCTGCCTGGGAAGGGCCCTGCTGAAGCGCACTCGCATTCTTGTGCTCGATGAAGCGACGGCGTCCGTTGATTCGGCAACCGATGCGGTGATCCAACGGACGATAAAGGAGTGCTTTGGCCACGCCACCATCATCAGCATCGCGCATCGGATTGCGACTGTTATTGACAGCAATAAAGTGGTAGTGATGGATCGAGGTGAGCACTGTACCTTATTTGTTGTATAGTTTTGAAAGTATGAGGCGCTTGCAAAGGTATAATGTGATGGATGAATTGTATGGTTGTACGTGAAATTTACATGCAATTGGTGCATTGTCTATAACATATGTTCATATGCATATGTATGCTTGTGTACCTCCTCCTTTACCTCATGCAGGCACTGTAGCGGAGTGTGACGAGCCAGCCAAGCTACTGGAGGATAAGACATCCATGTTCTCGCGTCTTGTATCAGAGTACTCTGCTCGCTCCACCGACATGGCGGATGTTGCAAGAAGCATGTCCATAGACAATCTTGAAGCTGTGGGTAGGGAGTTATCGTCATGACATATTGACTACGTATATACATTATGTTAGTGTCACCATGCTACTGCATGCATTTTGAGTATACACTTCAAGAACTTGTTCTCCCTCTGCATGCAAAATCAGGTGCCTGAAGGCGCGTCAACACAACAGCTGAGGTGTAAGTGTTCTGCATCTTGTGTTAGTAATGGGTTGTGGTAGATATTAAGTGCTGATAAATAACAGAAGTTTTTCGCATAGGTGAATGATGCATGTAGTAAATGTTTTGTCTTAGCACGACGGACGACGAAGAGTCTTGCGTCGAGTCTCGACGCTGACGGAACAGAAACGCAATTCATTGGTGCAATTCGTGTCGAGCGTGTTAGTCACGTCATATGCAGCCAATTACGGCACACCGTGAACCTCGGGTGACCCGACGGAGTGATGGTTCGACATCGCCGAGCCAGAGATTCAGTCGCCGAGCTTTTCGCGAAATCCACAACCAGATATCGCGCTCGTCGATATTATCGAGAGTGAGAGCAAACCGTTGACCGTCCGATCTTAGGGCGTGTTACATTTTCTCCGAGGCCTTTTTGTCTGGACGGTGCTCCGTCGATGGTACGGATCATATCGTACGGGCTGTCCGAGGCTCACGTCCGGAACAAGCCTCGTCCGAACGTCTGGTAGTGGAACAATTTTGAGATTCGAAATTCAAAATTGTGAACACTCTGTAACACAATACCCACATGGTCGCAATTTTCGCCCACCACAAATTTGCGCCTCGGCAACTCGAGTGCATGCCACTCGAGGTTCACTTGAAATGCGCCTTGGCGATCTGTGCATCGCGTGATTGGTTTTGAGCGGCTAGACAGCTGATTGGCGGATTCCATTTTCGTTTCAGAATTTCGCCCGCCAATCAACACGCGGTCCGTTTTGCCTGCCCACCTGACGGACAGCATGCATCCGGACCAACGTCTATGCGGGGAGCACTGAAATAGTTCCATACTCGGTACAGACGCATGCGACGTCGCATGCCGATATGCGTGTAAAACGCCAACTGAAATCAAGCGAAACTCGTTACCAGCAATTTGTTCGGACGGTCAATGGGACGGACGACGTAAGGCCAAAAATGTAACACGCCCTTAGTGTGGACGGTCGATTGAGACTGCCGCGAGGATTGCCACACCAGACCAGACCTGCCTTCTGCTGCATGGCAGGGTGCAGGGCGTGAGAGCCTGTGTGGTGTGCATGTGGGCTATTCGAAAAGGGCATGATTTTGGGCTTCGAGAAGAGCTGTGCGCGGTTTTGTGTGGCGCAGTCAGGTGGAGGACGATAAGTACCACGTCATAGATGCGAAAAATGCCTCCCAATCACGCCTTGTTTGCAAGCCAAGTTCTCCATGCCCTTTCAGCCTGACTTGAAACAGTCCCGTGTCATTTTGGACTTCTAATTGCGCCGGCTTAGGCGGCTGAGGGGAAATTCCCTTAGGGCCGTTAGCGTAGTCGTCTTCATTAGCCGTGTTTCCAGCTTTCTTTCGGAAGTCGTTGTTCGAGGACTTCAAATTCTCCTGCTAAGCGCCATGGGTGGAGGTAAGTCGACTACTACTGTGTTATTGGTTCCCTTTTTGTGTGTTTCCCTTTAATTCGAACCGTGCAATCATCGAGGTTGTGCTCGTCGGCATCTGTTTAATATTTAGGGGTCCATTTTTGCCTATCTCTGCTCGTCGGAACATATTCTATGCACTGTACGTTCTTCGCGAGACCCCTTGGGCGCGGCGTTCAACCTTCCGCTGTTTCTTATCCCCTCCTGGTTTTTCTCAGGAAAGTGGCCGCCGCGTGTGCGCAAGGAAGACCCGGAAGGTGATGGAGGCGGGGAGCCGTCTTGGGAAGTGGTAGTACCGCTGTCACCCACAGAATCAGACAGTGAAATCTCGGACACGGAACGACCAGAAGACGAGGAAACAAAGCAGCTGAAATTCGTGGACACGGAACAGTCAGAAGAGAAGGACTCGGAGCGACTGGAGCACGGACTACAAGTCCCGGTTTCCGATGGTATTGAGATTTCAGGCGACGTATGCGCTCTCTGCGCTAGTGTGGTTGCTGACGTCGACTCCCCGCCTGCTGACGCTGAATCTCCTCCTACTGACGTCGAATCCCCTTCTGCTGAGGTCGACTCACTCCCTGCTGACGTTGACTCCCTTCCTGCTGACGTGGAACGCTTTGATGCGCCCGAGACTACGTCTGATGACGCCCGTCAGACAGTTCAGCCGCCTGCTGTCCAGACTGCAGATCTGACGGCCGATTTGACGGCTGATCAGACATCTGAATTGACGGCTGAACTGACAGCTGACGGTCAGCTGGTAGCTGAGGAGACGGCTGGTGAGGAGCTGGCTGCTGTTCCGGCTGTAGCCTGTGCTGGCGGCTCTGATGCGCCTGACGCTTCTGACGCTTCTGAGGCTTCTGAGGCTGTTGGCGGTGAGCAGCCGCAGCAGCCAGCTGAACTTACGGCCGAACTCACAGCCGAACGGCTGGCTGACCGTCAGCAGCAGGTAGCTGAGGAGACGGCTGGCGAGGAGCTGGCAGCCGTTCCGGCTGTTGCCTGTGCTGGCGCTTCTGGTGCCTCTGACGCATCTGCCGAGGAAGGGGAGAAGAGCGAGGGAATTGAGATTTCGGAGGGTGTTGCTGCTGGTGGTCGGCACGGGTTGAAGGAGAGAAGCGTGCTACTGCTTGTGGAAGCAGATCTTTCCGACGCTGCTGCTCACTCCGACGCTGCTGCTCACTCCGACGCTGCTTCCTCTGGCGCTGTTGCTGCAAGCAGCAACCACCAGGCGAAGCTGGCTCGGCGCTTGGCTGGCGCTCTGTTGCACGCTGCAGGTGCCACCTCCCCCTCTCCGGCAGGAACAGGTGCACCTGCCCTAGGTGCCACCTCCACCGCTCCGCTGCTGCTGAGGCCTGCTCTAGGAGAAGCCTCGCTGCGCGTCTTGCCTGCTTTGGGGGAATTGAACTCATCTTTGCTAGTCGTGCCCTTTGCCCCTGCAGTAATGGAATCTCGTCTACTGGCGGCTGTTCTCGCGTCCGGACTCGAACCTCTGCCTGCTGCTGTTGCTGACGTGGATAATCCGAAGGGCATCAGCCAAATAGCCGCTGGCACCTCATCCCCAGACGTCACCTCGTCTTCCTCGTCTGATTCAATTCCACCGTTGCACGTCTCAGCGGCTGTGCTTGTGCTCTCGGCAACCCACCTGAACGCACTCCGGCTGCTGCTGTGTGGAAGGGGAGGGGAAAGGGACGAGGAAGAGGAAGAGGAAGAGGAAGGGGGGAGTCAACTGGCTGCGGGCGCTGCTGTTGGAGCACTCCAGGGGCAGTGTCTGAAGCAGCTGCAAGCACAGTTTGAGGCGCTTCGACTCGCGTTCCGATGTAAGCCGCAAAATTTTCCTTTCTGGTTTTCTTCACCTGACTTAGCCTTCGTGCATCAGTCGTCTCTTCCTCAAAAGTTAACCAAGTTCTCTTTTTTTTTGTAACTGACTGGTGCGATTTTATTACTTGCATCTTTTTCACATTCGAGACTGACCTTACCTTATTTGTACTCTTCCCTTTCACTCCTGTCTCTCTTCCTCCTCGCTTTTTTCTCCTTGGCTCCTCTCAGACACCCAAGGTGGCGTTCCGATTGCTCTCCTCGACACCCACTCCCTCTCACCTCACACCCTCGCCCACTACCGCTCCTTCCTCCTTTCCTCGCTGCACCTCCCAGCATCTTGGCCCATCTTCTCAATCTCCTTTCTGCTGAAACCACCTGGCGATCTGGATTCACCTGCGCCTGCCAACGCACCTGAGGCTGAAGAATCACCTGAGAAATCACCCGAGGAGCCATCAGGTGCGCAGGAATCACCTGAAGAATTACCTGACAGCAGCAGCAGCAGCAGCAGCAATACGGATCCAGAATCAGCCCGCGTCCTCTGCCCTACCTCTGTGGGAGCTCTTCTTGGCTCGGTGATGCACCTCTCCAGGCTTTCCCTCGAGCTGAATCAAGTGGGGAAGAAGAGGCAAGCAGGGGCAAGTGGAGGAGCTGACACAGACAGGTCAACCCAGTCAACCCAGTCAACCCAGTCAACCCAGTCAACTCAGTCAACCCAGTCAACTCAGTCAGAGGATACCAACAAGTGGGCGGCGCTTTGGCACGCAGCAGATTCTCTCTCCTCCGGCCGGCTCTCTCACACCCTCACCACCATCACTCCCCACCTGCAGTCCCTGCGCCAGATGTGCCTCCCCTTGAGGCCCCACCTCCACCATTTCACCCTGCACCTGGACCGCCGATTCCCCTCCCTCCGCCCGCAAATCTTCTCTTTCTACCGCAACCCACGCAAGCTGGTGCTTCCGCTCTCGCTCCTCCTCCTCGCTCTTCTCCTCCTCTCGTTCCTCATCTTGGGACTCGTCTTTTTCCTGCTGCGCTCCTGGGTGTACCACGGTGCACCCCTGCCGTTTCCCTTGGATTTCGTCCTCTCGCCTGTTTTCGATGTCGTTGCGGCTGTGTGCGGCTGTAATGCTGCTGCGGGGGGATATGCTGCTGCGGGGGGATACGCTGCTGCTGGTGCTGCTAATGGTGCTTCTGCTGCTGGTGGTGCTGTTAATGGTGGCTGCAGCGCTGGGCCTTATTTCGGGCCGTACAATAACGAGTACAGGGGCAGCTGGTGGGGGTTTTGGCCCTCATCCCACCATCACCACCGGCAGCACTATTACTACCGCACTAGATGGGCCCCAGCAAGGTAGTTACATTGGAGTCAAAGCATATAAGTTACGGGTCACACTGCAACGTGGATAGGGGAGGATGGGGCAGCTGGTGGGGGTCTTGGCCCTCAGCCCTCATTTCCCGATTGCAAGCACTATCAGCACCAATGCTAGGGTCATGTTGAGGGGACTCAAAAGGATCACGTGCATGATTGTATGTAGCAACATACACTTTTAAACACTGTATATACTTCGGAAAGTGTATCCAGGAGTTTCCTCATGGTTGGAAATCCAGTTGCCAGCGATGCTTAACTTACGCTGAATAATGAGAAAAGTATATTTTCTGTTTTACAATCACCCAATAGGTGAAAACACACATTATAGCGGGCTTTCGAGTGGTTTTACTAAAGTGTTCTCGAATTCCCCATGAGTGACCGTTCCGTTGTTTACCTGGTAGAGACGCAATGTGATGCCTCTCGAATGTGCCGCGCCGCCCCATCATCACTGGGGTAGCCTGCCCTATCCATCCCTTCGCATTCGTTCACACTTTCTAGAACCTGAGCATGGCAGCGTGATGTGCATACAGAGTTGTTCTCTGAACCTTACAGAACCGCATAAAAACGCTTTCAACCATGGTATACTACTCGGAATGTTTCAAATACCGAAACCTCTCCAGCATGGAAGATTATCTCTCACAGATCTCCCTAACTGATTGACAGACAGGAAATTGGAGCTCATTGACTGTTGAGGTCCCTGATGTCATACATGGCGGCATTTCAAAGCGGAATAGACGCTGCTCATTTATGCTGGTATATGCGGTGGATTAGTACCACTTTTCGTCGGCTTTGGATTCCCTAGAACCGTTAACGGAATCTACGGCAGCCGTATAGCCTTGTTGTTGGGAGCTGAAGGTTTGCGTACCCAAAATTTCGTTGTGGTTACCAATCACTGCGAAGCGCCATGGGTGGAGGTGCGTGGACCTGTGTGACCTGTTTACCACTGCGCCGTGTATTGGTCTACAAATATATACATTTTGGAACAAGTTGGGGTCACAATTTAATTTCTCTAATATTCCACTGCCAGTGGTTTGTTCGTATCAAGACCCCCCTGTGTGACTGTTTATCCTTCTGTTGTTACTTCCCTAATCTTTTAATTTTTCTTCTCAGGAAAATGGCCGCCGGGTGTTCCCAGGGGAGCTGTGGAACGCGAGGGAGGCGTGTTGTCGCCATCCTCAGCTTCGGACAGTGACTATCCGGACAGCAACCACTCGGACATTGAGCAGTCGGAACAGCAGTTGTCGGAGCAGTCGGAACAGCTGGACACGGAAGTCCAGAAGTCAGAAGGCTCGGATGGTATCAATGTTCCGGGCGAGAGAGACGAGCAGATTAATGTTGGCGCCCAAGGCGTGTGCGCTCTCTGCGCGAGTGTCATTGCTGACGTCGACTCGCCACCTGCTGACGTGGAATCCCTTCCTACTGACGTCGACTCCTCACATGCTGACGTCAATTCTCCGCTGTCTGACGTCGCCTCCTCTCCGGCTGACGTTGACTCTTTGCCTGCTGGCGGCTCCCTTACTCAAGTCGTCGATTCCACTGCCTCGTTGAATGGCTTCAAACTGGCAAGTCAGAAACGCTCTGATGTGCCTGAGTGTTTGTCCAATGACGGCTATCAGACGGTTAAGCAGCCTGCTGAACTGATGGCCGAACTCACGGCTGAATTGACGGCTGACAATGAGCAGCAGCCGGCTGTGACAAACGATGAAAGGCAGGTTGATGCTCCGAGCGTAGCCCGTGGTGCCTGTGGCGCCTGTGATGCCTCTGCCAATGAAGGGAAGGGGGTTGCAAAAGAAAGGAGAAAGATCTGTCAGGATGCTGCTTCTGGTGGTGGTGCTGGTAGTGGCGGTGGTGATGCTGCTGGTTGGCACGAGGAGAAGGAGAGTGTAGGGCTGCTGGTGGAAGAAGATGTCTCTGCTGCTGCAGGTGAATACCACCAGTCCAGTAATTCCATCGGCGATGGTGCTGCAGCTGCTGCCTTTGGCGCCCCAAATCCACCTCCCGCTGCTGCTGTGTCTAGTGCTGCTGCCGCCAGTAGCAGCAACAATCAGGCAGACTTCGCTCGGCGACTGGGAGACGCTCTGTTGCACGCCGCAGGTGCCACCTCCCCCTCTCCCTTGCTCAAGCCTGCAGCAGGCACAGATGCACCGCCCCCAGGTGCCACCTCTGGCTCTACCGCCAGTGTTAGCAATGATCAGGCACAGATGGCTCGGCGTCTGGAAGACGCTCTGTTGCACGTCGCAGGTGCCACGTCGTCCCCTCTGCTGCTCATGTCGGCCTCTAAAGGCAACCCAGCAGATGCACCGCCCCCAGGTGCCACCTCCTCTGCTCCGCCGCTCACACCTGCTCTTGGAGGAAACGCAGCAGGAACAGTTGCACCTCCCCCAGGTGCCACCTCCTCCGCGCTGCTGCTCGCGCCTGCTGTTAAAGGAGGCTCTCCCCTAGACGAGGCTTTTGGTTGTCTGGGCGGCCTTCCTGCCTTGGGGGGCCTTGCCTCGTCCCTGCTCGTGGTGCCGTTGGGGCCAGCAGCAACAAATTCGCTACTGGTGGGTGTTCTCTCGTCTGGACTTGAACGAATGCCTGCTGCTGCCACAGTTGGTGATGACGCTGCTGGTGGTGACGCTGCTGGTGGTGACGCTGCTGGTAGTGGCGCTGTTGGTGGTGACGCTGCTGGTGGTGATGCTGCTGATTCAGATATTGGTGGTGCTGATGCTGTTGCTGCTATTGATGCGGATGTTGATGCTTCTGATGCTGCTGCTGATACTGTTGCTACTGCTGTTACTGCGGGTGATGCTGATGCTGGTGGTGATGCTCCTGATGCTGTTACTGTTAATATTGCTGTTGCTGCGGTTGATGCTGCTGCTGATGCTGCTGCTGCTGATACTGCTGTTGCTGAGGGTGATGCTGCTGCTGCTGCTGATGCTGATGCTGATGCTGCTGCTGCTGATGCTGCTGCTGCTGCTGATGCTGCTGTTTATACTGCTGTTACTGCTGGTGATGCTGATGCTTCTGCTGCTGCTGCTCCTGATGCTGTTGCTCCCGTGCCCATTGCTCCCATCGATACCCATTCCCTCCCACAGGATACCCTCTCCCACCGGATACCCTCTCCCACCGCCTGTCCTTCCTCCCCTCCTTTCTCCGCTCCTCGCTGCACCTCCTCTTCTCAACACCCTCTCTGCCTAAACGTTACGTCACCTCCGCCTGCCACCGCACCTGCCACCGCACCTGCCAGTTCATCGAATTCGTTACTGGCGGATATTCTCTCGTCTGGACTTGAAACGCTGTCTGCTGATGGTGGTGCTGGTGGTGACGCTGTTGCTGCTGGTGGTGGTGGTGGTGGTGGTGGTGTTAGTGGTGGTGCTGGTGCTGCTGATTTTGATATAGGTGTTGCTGATACTGATGCTGCTGCTGCTGTTACCGCTGGTGATGCTGTTGCTGGTGCTGCTGCTGCTGTTGATACTGCTGCTACTAGTGATTCTGATGTTGATTCAAATTCAGCTGTTATGGGTGCTGCTGCCTCCGCCACTGTTGCTGCTGACGTGGGCAAACCGAATGCTAGCAGCCAATCGGTTGCTGCCGCCTCATCCGCAGAAGTTGTTTCCTCTCGCTCGTCTGATCCGGTACCACCGTTTCACTTGTCAACCGCGTTTGTGCTCTCTGCAACGGAACTAAACAAAATCCGGTTTCTCTTTTGTGAAAGGAAAAGGGACGGGGAGAAAGGGAAAGATATGAGGCAGGATACAGCTGCTTCTGCTGCGTCCCTGAAGCAGCTGCAGGCACGGTTTGACTCGCATCGTCTTGCGCACCAAGGTGAGCTGCTAGATTCCCTTTTCACAGCTGATATTTGAGGAGCTAGACTTCCTTTTTGAAACTCACATGTTTTTTATCTTCGCCTCCTCCCTCTGTTGCTCCTCGTTTTTTTCTCCTTCTATTCTACCTCGCCCCTGCCTTATGTACCCATTCATCCTGGCCCTACCCTTCCCGTTCCATTCCCATGCTTATTGCTCTCCTAGACACCCACTCCCTCTCACCTTCCACCCTCTCACACTGCCTCTCCTTCCTTCTCTCCTCCCCCCCGGCCTGTTGATCCTTGCAGACTCCCAGGGTGCTCCCGTCCCTATCGCTCTCCTAGACGCCCACTCCCTCTCACCTGATACCCTCGCCCATTGCCACTCCTTCCTGCTCTCCTCGCTGCACCTCCCCGCCTCTTGGCCCGTCTTCTCCATCCCCACACTGTCGAAACCACCTGGTGAGCTGAATTCACCTGCACCTGTCAGCGCACCTGAGACCGACAAATCATCTAAAGAATCACCTGAGAAGCCATCAGGTCGGCAGGAGGTTCAATCAAACCCCAAGTCAATCAAGGCAGCCCATTCAGAGGACTCCAACAAGAATGCAGAACACCCGTGTACGCTAATGCGCCAGTTACTCATCGACGCACTCGATTGCCTTGCGACATTAATCTTCCTCGGATTTCATCTCATGGTCATAGTCGGCTTCTATAACCTTTTGCCGAACATATCGAACACCTGTAAGAAGCGACGGTACTCAGACCCGCCTGAGTGGTGTGATGGTGCTATTACCCTGCGCGTGCTGCTGCTGCTGCTAGCACTTGGATTGGCTCTTTGGATGGTGGCGGCGATGTTTCTGGTGCTGGTGAGGATGCTTCAGCTGCTGGCGGCAATTCAGATGATGTTGGTGAAATGTGAACTCTTTGTGTGTCGTGCATGCATATCGTCTGTAGAGGGGGTATTGTTTCGAGGCACAGCAGCAGCACTACTGCGGGAATGTTTTCGAGGATACCGTAGTACAGTATCCTCTTCTCACGGATATAGGAATAGGACCCTGTCCCCTGGGTCCTCTATGGGAGGGGGAGGGGAGAGGAGAGAATGGAGGGGTGGGGGGGGAGGGGGGGGGGGGGGGGCGGGGGGGAGGGATGGGTGGGGGTTAGGGGGGTGGAACACAGTGTTTGGAATACCTGGAAAAGAACTGTGGACCCCCTTACCAGTTTGAGTCTGTATTTTGCATCATCAATTTGTGTTGTCGCCAGATTTTAGGTGACTGAAATTGAAATGCGGACACAAGATCTGACACAAGGCAGCTCCAAAATGTTTCCCACGTTGTGCTAGATACAAGTCAGTAGTGTAGAGAAGAAAAATGTACCGTATTACCGGTAAGTATACCGTAATGCACATCAGCCGTCAGTTGATGTCACGCGATAAAAAATATATGCCATTAGTAGATGTGTGCTTCTTTCTTTGATCAAGCAGAACAGAAGGTATCATGACATGATCACATGACATCACATACCGTATTACTCATCAACCTACCATCCAGAAGCAACGATTCCTAGTGCCCTGACAACAGCACGATAATCAAACTCGTCAGGTCGCTTATTGAACGCCTCAACATGGCGATAGCGCGAGTCCTGAGTGTAGAAAGAGTGTAGATCTTTCAAAAGAGTCTGAGCCTGCAACGGGAAATGGAACAGCAGGATCCCACTTAGCAAGGATTGTGTGTGCGTGCGTGCGTGCGTGTGTGTGCGTGTGTGTGTGTGTGTGTGTGTGTGTGTGTGTGTGTGTGTGTGTGCGTGTGTGTGTGTGTGTGTGTGTGTGTGTTGAATATATATGACACCCCACTGTACGGACGCACCTACCCATCGTTCAGCTTGCTCGGTAGAGCCACGTTGCCCCACACCAGCACCACCCCTTCCTCTGCTGCTAGCTGTGTGTAGCTGTCTCTTGTGTCTGACTCAACAGACAGCTTGTGACACTCTATGTAATCCCACTCACCTCATCGACATTCAGTGGAATCTCATCTCACTGCTTCAGTGTAATACCACGCCTTGCTTCCTGTTTATGACACCCTAGCGAACTCACCTCATCGTCGTTGAGCTTGCTGGGCAGAACCACGTCACCCCGGACCAGAACCACCCCTTTCTCGGCCGGTAGATCGGGGTGATGTGTGACTGTAAGAGAAAAGAACAAATCCCATACACCACCTCTCTTGCTTCCTGTTTGTAACACCTTCCAGCATTGACTCACCTCCTCATCGTTCAGCTTGCTGGGCAGAACCACGTCTCCCCGGACCAGAACCACCCCTTTCTCGGCCGCTAGGTCTGGGTAGTGTGTGACTGTAAAGAAGGGCGATGCAGAGGGGCCTCGGACCTTAAAGTCTTCAAGACCAGTGAAGAGGAGGTGGGGCATCTGAGCTGTGATTGTAACGAGGGGAATGCGAGAGACGGCAAGGGGGAGTTGTGCCCGTGAGCATAGCGTGTGTGTGACTGTAACGAAGGGTGCAGTGCAGCAGAGAGGTCTGAGTTGTTCTTGTAACGAGAGAGACATGAGAAAAAAATACGAGCCCGATCCCATGTGAATGTAGAATGTGATTGTAAGAGACGTTTGGGTTGAAGAAGCGAGGAATTCCAAAGAGGTGAGAGTGGGGCATGAAAGAGAAGCAAGGGACGAAGCGAGACCCGAACCAGCACGTTGTGATGGCTATACCTTGTGCGAGCATGGTGACAAATCCCTTGCTTCTCGCCACTGGGAGCACAAACATGGGACTGTGGCAGTGGGGAGAGAGGGGCATGGGGGTAAAAAAGGAAAGCTTTTGTTCCACTCACCACTCATCACTTCCCACTCACCCTTATTGGGCAGGTTACACAGAAGCACAAGCGTATAGGCACGGAATATGTCCCACTCGCCCGTCATTGCCCCAAAGCTGGGTTTAGGGTCTGGGGTTTAGGGTATAGCCCAACCCTGACACTCACCACACTCTTGCTCTGTGCTGCAGCGTTTCGAAAGCAGCGGCGGAAATCACGGTGCTGACGTGCGTGCGACCCAAATGGTGCTGTTCAGAAAAAGGGAATTCGGAAAGCGGGGGGAAAGAGAGCTGTTTATAGAAGGGCGTCACAAAGGCTAACGATTGCACAAGCAGCGCCGGAATCACAGTGCTGACATGCGTGCGACCCAATAGGTGCTGGACATATTGAGTCGACACTGCTTATAACGCGGATTTGTTACACGCGTTTCTGCTGATAAAGTAGCGTGTTCTAAGCCGCCGTACGTTGTTCCACGTAGCGGCAATCTCTTCGGGCGCGCATGCTCGCAGCGCGTCCAGCGACATGATCTCCTCGAGGCGCTTCGGCTGCGGCATGGAGAACCCCGACGCGAACTGCGACCCGCGCGTCTGAGTCAACCGAGTCAGCGGGCCCGACAAAGTCAACCGAGTAGACGGAGCTAACAGACCCGACGAAGCAATCAGAGTCAACGGAGTCAACGGGGTCAACGGGCTTGACGAAACCAACCGAGTTGACCCCGTCAACGGAGACATTAGAGTCGACGGTAGGATCCCGGCTGCAGGTACTGGAGATGCCAGTAACGCGGACGAACACGCACGGGCAGCGGAAATCGGCCGTACGCCTGCCAGATCTGCAGCTGACTGTGGCATGCGAGCCATGCGAGACACGTCAACCACGCGAGACACGTCAGCCACGTCAGCCAGATCTGCTGCTGACGGCGCCACGCGAGACACGTCAACCAAGCTAGTTGGATCGGATGCTGACGGAGCAATGCGAGGAACGCCACTTGCACGTAGCACCCGCCGAGCCGCGCGTGACGCGATCCGTGGTGCGATCATGGCGCCAGGCCAGCGGGCGCGAGCGTAAAGTGTTGGTTGGGTTCAAGGTTGGGTGTTTGGTTCGGTGTTAGGCTTGGTGATAGGCCTGGAACTGGCTTGGTGCTACGTATGGAACTAGGCTCGGTTCTGAGCGTGTTGGCTGGGAATGCACGCAGCAGTGCCGCGGAATGACCGAGGCTATGTGAGACGGATCGCAGGGTACGTCGCGTTGCCGTGTGATGCGGCGTTTACGTGGACGCATTGGGAGTTTGGAACAGCCCCGAAGGCTAAAAAATGCTCGAGTCGAATGCCGCAGGAGCTAAGATTCATCCAAATGTAATAGGAGAGGATATAAATATAGAGTAACGTTCATACAATGTGGGCATTCTCAGTAAAGTCTCTCTGTTGTCGAATCAGCCTTTGAGGGGTTTTCGTTGTGTCAGACGAACTTCCCGCCACGCACCATTCCAAGCACTTCACAACGCGTTGAAACTCGAGCGTGTTTGAAATATTCTCAGGTATCACAATTCTAACCACAGAACCACTCTCGCCTTGTGCGGACACGTGTGAACCGAAATTTTCTACGTGCATTTCACGAAACGCATAGAGATCGAGTGCTCAGAATCGGTCAACTGTGTTTATAAACACGTTTTCAAGACCTCGAAGTTTCAAGAAATACTCACTAGCCGACTCAGCCTTGGGACTTCCGAAACTGATGAGCCTAGAAAGTAAAATTCTGTTTCCCATGAGTCAGCTTGATCACAAGGATTTCCCGTTGCTTCAGTGCTGCTCAGACTCTTATACGTGAAATACTAGTACCTCATCGCGACGATATCTAGGGACGATTTTCAGTTTTGTGCCAGGCCGATTTGCTCAAAATCCGTCGAGCTCCGTTCGGTGGTGGACCGTTTGACCGTTGACTAGCAAGTGTATCGAAGTGTTCGACCCTGTTTCATTATACCGTTTCTGACGGCCATTACATTGTGCGTTGAGGATTCTTAACTAGCACTTCATCGAATTTCGCGAAACAATCTCAAGCGTACATACTCGAACCAGTCTAAATCCGATACACCAACTTTTACTATAGCCTGATCGCGCGAAGCCGCCAAGATGGTGCTGATAGCGGCGGTTCGTGATTACGTGAACAAGATTCTCAACGACGTCAGCGGCCCGAAAGTCTTGATTCTCGACGCAGAAACGGTAGGTGATGTCAATCAGACCGAATCCGTCACGCCTATATGGGTGCCTCAGGACTCTCGTTCTCGTTTGACAGGGAACGGTATTACCAGGAGACCTCAGCCAAACGGAATCCGCTGTTTCCTAGAGCGTCGGGGCTCTCGCGTGCTCTTTTGGCCTTACCTCCCCTCTCTGTTCCCACTTTCGCCGTCTGTTCCCCACTCTCGCCGCCTGTCCTTATCCGTCTGTTTTTTCCGCAATCAGCAGAATACGATTCTCTCTATTTATATCCGCGTTCGACTGTTTCAGAATCCCTTGAGCTGTTCCGGTGTGGAAACATGCATTTCTCGTCGCCTCTTGGTTGTTTCCCACGTGCATCCCCAACATTGTCACTCTCCACATCTTTCCTCCGTCTACCCGTCTCCTCTTCTTCTACCTCCCGCCCATCTCCTTTCCCTTCCTATCTTTCATTCCTCCTTCCCTCCCCTCCATCGCCACCTGTCGTCAGCTGCCTATAGTCAGCCTCGTTTTAACGCAATCCGAGATTCTACACCGCGACGTGGTGCTTGTAGAGAAGGTCGACTCTAAAGGAGGCGGCGGCGGCAGCAGCGGCAGCGGCGGCGGTAGCAGGGGCGAGTCAGGGGGCAGCGGAGCGGAGCCTATGCCACATCTTAAAGCCGTGTGCATTCTCAGGCCGACAGGGGAGAATGCGAACCACTTAAAGCGGCACCTGAGGAACCCCAGATTCGGGGAGTACCATCTGTGTGAGTATAGCGAGGTGGTAGGGTGAGCCTTGGGATAGAGCAATGGGATAGAGCAATGGGATAGAAATGCTTTGGCTCAGTGAACAGACCTATGTATCGAGGTGACTTTTGAGTCGACTCAAAAGTCACTTGGTTGGTGGATTTCATGGACTCAAGGGGATCCCCTCTCCTTTTTCCTCCCTCTCCCCCCAGCTTCCTCTCCTTGAGTCTTCACCAACATACTCAACAACACTCTCATCCATGTTCTTGCTGACGCGAACGCCCAAATAACTGACCGTATGCAAAAGATCCCCTCATTTCCGTTTCCTCCTGCCCCTCCTTCAGCCTTCACCGATATTTAGTACAACACGCTCCTCCGCGTTCTTGCTGACGCGGACGCCTACCGAGTAGACTTAAAAAACCTCTCTCTCTCTCTCTCCCCTCCATCCTTTCCCGCCCTCGCCCCTCCCTGCCCCTCCTTCAGTCTTCACCAACATACTCAACAACACGCTCGTCCATGTTCTTGCTGACGCGGACGTCCAAGAGGCAGTGGTGCAAGTGCAGGTGAGGGGCAGAGAGGTTGACAGGGTTGGTGAGAGGGAGAGAGGTTGATAGGCTTTTGAGTTGACACAATAAGCAACACGCTAATCCATGTTCTTGCTGACGCGGACGCCCAAGAGGCAGTGGTGCAAGTGCAGGTGAGGGGCAGAGAGGTGCAAATGCAGGTGGGTAACAGAACAGAGTGGTTACCAGTTCATTTTCAGTAATGCCTAACTGACGCGGTCGCTCAAGAGGCAGTGGTGCAAGTGCAGGTGAGAGGTAGAGAGTCAAACACTGAACCTCCCTATCCCACCGTCCCCTCCTCCTCCCCCCGTCCTTCCTCCGGAGTAATATTTGGCTTTCTTCGCTCTGGGCGCCCATCTCTTCGCACAATGGCTGGCTGAGCGCAAGGAGGGGGGAGGAGGGAGGAGTGTGTGGGGCAGTGCATGTCGAGCGCAAGGAGGGGGGAGGAGCAGTGTATGTCCTCCTTCTGACTGCCCCACACACTCCTCCCTCCTCCCCCCTCCACACGCCCCCCTCTCTCTCAGGAGTACCATTTGGATTTCTTCGCGCTGGACGCCTATCACTCCACCCAGCACGTGCCTCTCAACGTCTAATCCTTCGTCTCCCTTTCCCCCTGCTTCCTGTCCCTCTTCTCCCTTTCCCCCTGCTTCCTGTCCCTCTTCTCCCTGTCCCGCCTCTCCCGATGCTCCTTCTCCCCAACCTCCCTATCAGGAGTACTATTTGGATTACTTCGCCCTGGACGCCTATCACTTCACCCTGCACGTGCCTCTCAACGTCTACTCCTTCGTCTCAGCCACGGTCGACCTGCACAACACGCAGAGGGTGGCAGAGCGCTCAGTAGACGCCCTCCTAGCCCTCTGCCTGAGCCTCAAGAAGCGCCCTTCGATTCGCTTCCAACGGGGGTCTGAGCTGGCGAGGAGGGTGGCGCATGAAACAGGGGTGAGTGGGAGGGAGCGAAGGAGGAAGGGGTTTGACTGGGTAGTTTTGAGGCGCCTCAAAACTAGTTGGAGCTGGCAGAGAGATTGGCACGTGAAACAGGGATGAGTGGGAGGGAGGGAAGGAGGAAGGGGTTTGATTGGGCATGTGTGTGTCACAAGATGGATCTGACTCTATCTATGCACATCCCTCCTCCCCCATCCTCCTTCTTCCCCCTCTCTCAGCGCATCATGTACGAAGCAGAGAAGCCCTGATTCGAATTCAGACGCACGGACGCCCTGCCGTTGCCACTGCTTTCTGTCATATTCACTTTTCCCTACCCACATCCCTACCCACCCTATCTCCATCCCCCCCAGCGCATCATGTACGAGGGAGAGAAACCCTGATTCGAATTCAGATGCACGGACGCCCTGCCGCTTCCACTGCTGCTGCTTGCTGTCGTATTCACTTCTCCCTACCCACATCCCCAACCCAACTCCCTATCCTATCTCCCAACTCCCTATCCTATCTCCCCAACCTCCTCAGCGCATCATGTACGAGGCAGAGAAGCCCCTATTCGACTTCAGGCGCACAGACGCCTTGCCGCTGCTGCTGGTGGTGGACAGGCGGGACGACCCGGTTACCCCGTTACTCACCCAGTGGACGTATCAGGTACGGTTTGCATTAGATTATAGAATGATGTTACTGACCAAAGGAACGACCCGGTTACCCTGTTACTCACCCGGTGGACCTACCAGGTTTGCCTGACATCTTTTAGTGACGTGCCAGGTATGCTTAGCCCTTAATATTGACGACTCGACTTTTGAGGTCGTTTTTGAGGCGCCTCAAAAACGTGCCAGGTATGCTTAGCCCTTAATATTGACGACTCGACTTTTTGGCAGTCTGACTTGAAGGACCTGGTTAACCCGAGGCCCCGTCCGTCTGTCCTCCTTCCCCTCCTCTCGCCCCCCAGGCCATGGTGCACGAGCTGGTGGGCGTAAAGGACAACAAGGTGGATCTGAGTCACATGGCCCATACATGTGGCGATGATGGTACAGGGCGAGGAGAACTACCCTCTTTCCTTGCCCTTCTCCCGTGCCTCCCCTTCCTCTCCCTCCCTTGCTCTCCCCAGGCCATGGTGCACGATCTGATAGGCATAAAGGACAGAAATGTGGAACTCAGCCCAACATGAGTGCCGACCAGCAGGAGGTGGTGCTGGCAGTGGAGAAGTTCAAGCTTCAACCCTTTCACTCCCTCGCTTTCACTCCTCCCCTTGCCCCTCCCCAGGCCATGGTGCTCGATCTGATAGGCATAAAGGACAAGAAGGTGGATCTCAGCCACGCGGACAACAGCATGGGGAAACATGAGAAACCAGCGTACCCTCATCAACTCACCCCCATACCCTCCCTCTCCTTCCCTTGCTCCTCCCCAGGCCATGGTGCTCGATGGGATAGGCGTAAAGGACAACAAGGTGGATCTCAGCCACGCGGACAACGTGAGCCCTGACCAGAGGGGGGTGGTGCTGGCAGTGGGGGGGGACGAGCTTCACCCCCTCAGTTCCTCCCTCCCCTGCCCACCCTCCCCTTCACTCCTCCTCCCTCCCCTCCCTCCCCTCCCCCCCCT